GATGCAGATCTGGGCATTAATTTTATATTAATGCTTATGACTGTCAATGCTGCAGTCAATAAAAGCTAAACAATCTGGAATGATGAGGGATAGAGTCACAGGCACTCTTAAAATAAAAAAAAAACTGCAAGGATTGAAATAAAAAATTATGACTGTCCAAAACTGGAGATAATTTAAATGACTACAAAGACTGACTCTGCAATTAAAAGTTGTTAAAAGACAGGAGACCAAGAGCAAACATTTCATTCCAGACAGACATATATTGATATATACCAATCTTCCTGCCATGAAGTAGCAGAAAAGACTTCAGAGGGTTTTTTTCTTAAGTCTTTCAGTTACCAAATGGTTTTCAGGTGTGATACAGTGGTATGGAGAAAAATCAGCTATAGTAATTTTAAATCAAAATGCCAGCTTAAGCTAATCACAGCCGACCGCAAAAAAACCTGCTCCACATCGACTCGTCCTCCTCTGACCATTTCTTCACCGTTTTGCAAGCGCTCTTTCATGCTGGCTTTAAAAAGTTGTTATCTCAATTAGAGGCTCTGTGACCGTGGCAACCGAGTGACCTCTCCAACTGTGAAAAAACATGGTCTCAAAAGCAACATTTCATCTCTGTCCGGCTCCACATTCAAAAATGCTGTTTCTCTCCTACTTTAGCAAAAAAAAAAAAAGCCTAAAGGCATTTTAACAGTTATTTTTCTGAGCGGCATGTAACTACGTTCAGTGTAGTGTAGTAGCTCTCTGCTCTTTCAAACATTTATCTTTGTTCATCACTCAGCACATCAGACACACATTATATTTCTAAAAAAAACAGTAACATCGTAAGACGTAAAACATCAGAAGAGGGAGAGAAAGGTTCCCAAAAAAAAATCCAACATAAACCAATAGAATGTGAATGCAGCACAATACAGCTGTCATCCACATATAGTGCCACGTGACGATGTATTCGTCCACTATGCTTGCCGCTGCAAACTAGTTGGCAAGTTTTAATGCCGTACATCGGGATGATGGAACAAGACTGTGAATATATTTATGGGAGGTGGCGACAAAACCACGAAACATCAAGTCGAGGATGTCGTAAACTGAACAGTCCCTGTAGTCCAATTATAAAACCTTTGCTAGTGATGGGAAATAAGCATTGAAATCCCATGAATATTTTTTTCAAGTCTCATTGGTGTAAACATATACTTGTGCAGAGACCTAAAAGATCTTCTCTTTTAAATAATTAATCCATAAATCCACTGTAGTAGAAGGACATGTGGAAGAGGTGACCAATCAAACAGACTGCAGCTCTGTGGCAGTACAAAGAGGCATGAACACGTGTGACAAATCCCCTCTGTCCCACTCCTACACGTTAACAACAAAAGTACATACACGCTGACATATACCTAAGGTACTATACACACATTGTATATTCCCAGCAGACACTCGCTGCTGTCGGGGGTTACAGTATGCTCCACGTTGTTTACAGCTGCCATGGATCCTCTTCATGTGACGGTGACACTAGCCAACACGCTGCTCCACACTGTGCCAGAAAAAAACAAGGCGGCATCCAATAATCAGGGGATGACCCCACTGCCTAATATGGTGTGTTCAAGAGGATCATCTAGGAAATGAGGGCCGTGGACCGCCCAAACAGACAGTATATTCTGGAGGTAATGAGTCATATTTGAGGTTCTGGTAATGTTTACGTGTAGGAGTGTGAATGACAGCAGGAGATAAGCTCAGAGAGTCAGTGTGGGAGTGTGTAAGTATATGAGGCACACAGGAAGAAGGCAAATACAGACTATAAAAAGATCATCAACACTCCTTGAATCCCAACAAAGGTTTTTTTTTCCTTCTCCAAACCATCTATAGAGTCTATGCGTGAAACTGTTCCTGTAAATATCTTCACATCTGTTCAGTAGCATTTAGGTGTTTCATTGACAAAACTAACAAACACCATCTTCCCTGGAAAATTGTTTTTGGATTCATGTCAAGCCAAGCTGAGTCAATTTTACTTGTACAACCTGAATTCATAAAAAACATTTAATTGCATTTAATAATATACCTGTCGTGGTCGAGCCATCTTTGAGTATGGCTGTAGGTGTCTGGTCCAAATTTCATGAAGCTCTCCAAAAACTTATTTTACAACTGGCTGAGAATCCAGTTGTTGATGTTTTTAAATAAAAAGTTAATAAAATAAAGAAATATTTTTGCACTAGTTTTGACTAAAATGCAAACAATATGAACCTGCATCTCATTGACACACGGCCCAGTACTGGTCCGCAACACCCTGGTTGGGAACCTAAGCTTATGGGTTTTTCAAATCTAATAAAACAGCTTTCTACAGAGGATTTTACTCTCATGCAAAGTCTGAATTATTTCTCTGCAGCTCTGTAGAGAGCAGCGAGGGTCCGCGCTCAAACACAGGCAGCATCCCCCATAACATCAGCAGCACCTACCGTAACATGCTATTTATTCATTAAGCCTTTTAAATCCACTTGTCCGTGGATTTAATCCAGCTTGTGCCTGAAAGCAAACAAACAGACAAGGGGAGGGGAGATGGGGGGGGGGGGCACAGAGGCAAGCGTGCAAACGGCACAAAGGATCATGCAAAGCAAAGATAAATACCCCTTAAACAATGTGGGGTCTAATCCCACTCCTAGCATTGTAATAAAATGACAAATCCAGCGCTCATTTACCGTGTGGATTCTCTTATTCGCCTTGTTCTTATCCCAAAAATCCCAGATTTACCCTTTAATTTCAGTGCGAACATCTGTGTGAATTGGCCTCGTACTCCAGCACTGGAGTTGTTCCCAGTCCTCCCAGTGAATCTACGAGTGCATTAAAACAACACCAGCATCTCTTTACAGTGGTGAAGAGTATTTCCACACATATTCCCAGCCTCCACCCTCCTTCTCCCCCGTCCCCCTCCTCTAAATTAGTCAAGATTAATGTGTATGCCACGCACTGGGCCGTCTTAATTAAATAACACAGTCTAATTAGGGGCTGATTTTGGCTGGTAATGGCACCTTAAGATGGTGGAATGGGATTGTGTGTGCGGCGTGACAGAACGTTCATGAAACCCGTCAAAACTCCCTGGTTGGTCACGCTCGCCTGGTTTCCCACAAATGGCCTACTCTTAATCTGACAGTTGTATTAAAATGCAAATAGCCCCTGTGTAGGGCCGGGGTAACAAGTGTTGGATTACAGCTCGCGGGGACAGATTTTTTTCTCCATCAGATATGACATAGCAGGTAAGAGGGTCACAGCGATTGACCCACAGAAGTAGTTGATTAAATATTGTCTAACGCTATTGGACAAGTGTTAGATTACACAGTCAGTAAATCTGTGTGAGCTCAGATATAAAGTCCCCGCTTAAGTGATGTATAAAGTGTAATAATGGATAAAAAAAAAAGTTTCCTTGGCAAATATATGCCTTCCCTAATCAGCTGTGATTTAGTCGACGTGATTGGTCAACTCTGCTTGTTTGGATGTGTTGCTGGTTTTAATGAGAACGGCTCAAGACTGATTGAAAGGTCAAAGAAAATGAAAGAATATTATTGAGTAAAGGGTATGGGGGACAGAAGGGGACCAGGTGTGGAGATACTGCAACTGTACACACACACACACACACTCAATAAATAGTCAATCTACCCACAGGATTTGAATGCATTTGATTTGCATGTGCGTGTGTGTGTTTGATGTCATGAGTAGCCACCATAAGACCACCCCCTGCAGGGAACCATCATGGCTAGATGTGAAAAGCAGCCAACACATGCCAAAAAAGCCTTGCCTTAAAAAAATAAAATAAATAAAAATTAACCCCTGGCAGTAATAAAACTTCACAGCAGTTCGTTCTTTGAGCAAAAATGAAAAAAGGGGGAGGAAAAAAAACCCACCATTCATTCCCACAAGGGGGGGCCGCTGCAGCCACAAAGGAATATTGTTCTTTTCCTTTGTGCTGTGGCAACTGACAGAACCACCACGTTCTCCCTGAGGGCAGTGAGCAGTGAGGTTGGATTTAAATAAATAAAAAACAAAAGACTACATTTTCTGTACAATATCATGATTTTTTTTTTACTTCACTCTCTTTGCTACTCTCTCCCTAACTGAGTGGAAATGATGCCACTGCAGCCCAGAGAGCTAGTGTCCTGGAGGGACATCCCTGATGGACGGTGAACACCGCTCTTACATGGTGGACTTGGACAACAGAGATGTGAAGACTAATGGGATTTGGCAAGGACCAGGTCCTTGGTGGACACGCTGATGAAGCTGAGGGAAAACAAATAGAAACGGGAGGACGTTTCTACTCTTAGCTGGGTTGGGTTCACTTGCTTTACAACAGCACCCTCTGTCTTTGCATGCGGAGATGTGCAGCACACGACTGCGTCAGCGGCACAGCAACCACAGCAAAGAAGAGGAAGCTCAATGAGCTGCAAATGATTGACAGGTAGACGCATGTCAATTAAATATTGTAACATTATTTTTTTTGTTTTCTTATGCTGACGTCATCCAGTGGAATACACTGCACACAAATCCACCTCCTCTGGAGGAGGCATCATTTTAGGAGCAGTAAAAAGGAAACCATCTCAGTGAGCGAAGCACTCTGCAGATATAACTTTTTCCTCCTGCTGCTGAAATCCATTCTCTCTGTAGTCCGGCTCCTCTGCTCAGCTGTTCACTTCCTTTTTCTCAGCCAGCCTGAGAGCACAGACAAGATGGATGCCAGTGTCGATGCGCTGGCCAGTGTGACAGATGGGCTGATTATAAAAACCCATCGCTCTGCTCACAGTAAACCACAACACCTTATCTGCTAGCTAATAGCCCTCATCTGCTTTCACCTTATAAAGAGTTGATGCTGTTTGTTAATATGGAGTCGTCCCATTGTATGGACAGATCCTATTATGTCCCTGATTATGTCCCTGACCTCTCTGGGAGCAGTTGTACCTGAATAGACAACTGCCAGAATTCTTTTTAACCCAGAATGGTAAGTGTCACCTTGCTGTGACCTTGTGTATGTCTGACTGGACTGATGGAGGTCAAGCATGTTCTCCTTTCTCTAAATGGATACATTGAAAATGCACAAAAGGATTCAATGGGGGGGCAAGCAATTCAGAAAGAGGGAAAAACCAGAAACAAAAAAGGAAATAATAAAAAAAATATGTAGGTAAAGTTGACGAGAGAATACGAGTGGGTGTCGAAGGCGGTCTCTCAGGAGTAACCAACCTCCCACTGCTTTATTGTTATTTAAAGCCTGGATTCATCAGACTAACACTGAGTCTGTGCTCAGGCGAGACATTAAGATCAATCACATCAGCCAAACAGAAGTCAGACAAACAGGAAGCAGAGCGTGAGGAAGGAAAAAGCAAGTGAGGAAGAGAATAAAGGGAATAAAGAATAAAGGCAGGTGAATGACTTTCTTACTCCATGCTCCCAGCCATCAGCAGGGAGAGGTTGTAGATGTGTGAGAAGATGAAGAGGAAGAGGATGGTGCTGAAGAACATGGTCATCCAGGAGCCATGATCCTCGCGGAACATTTTCAGGCGCAGGTATCGACCTAGAGGGGGGGAGTTTGACAAGGACACCGCCGTCAGTGATGGTTCAAAACCTCAAGTGTCAAGCTGCCAACATGCACGCTGACAAAAATGAAGATGAAGGTAAATAAATGAGCCGTGACGATCAATAACGGTCTGCTGTGGACATGTGCCCTTTGTACAGAGGGAATCAAGATTAAGGAGTGGGTAAAGGTGTCACTTCCACAATGCAGAAGTCATTGTCTTTTCCCGACCAGTTCAGACAGTCAATCCTGACGGAACACGTTATTAACACCAGGTGTCAGTGTCTGTGGTTCAAGTAAATGAATGATTGCTTGTCTTTCATAAAGTGAGTTTTGAAAATCAAATCAGAAATCATTCATGCATCTGTGACCTGTGGTGTTGTTTTGTTTTATATAGTTTGGGCTTAAAATCAAATTATGAAGCAATATCTCCCCGGCAGAGCAGTAGATTGATTCACATACACGTCCCTGCGCACAGAATGCATAATCGCTCCAGCATGTCCTCAGGTGGCTGTCCTCAGAAAGACTGAAATTAATGGTTATCATACCATTGACCTTGTGCTTTAAATGGGCTTTTAGTGCCTTACTAAAACATCTTTGTCCTTTACTACTTTTTTTTAATCTCTCACATTTTCAAATGTGCAGATTCTATGCTTTGTCCATTGACTGGTTCTATGATACAGTCGTCCATTTCCAAAAGTATTAAAGTTTTTGCCCTACACAGGAACAGCATGAGATGAAAGGAAAACTCAAGGAATAGAGTTCTAAGTGTTTTGGTTTTTTTTCATGGCTAAAAAATACTCTGTGAAGGTTCGACTGCTGACCGCTTTAAAGTAAATCAATAGATTGTTAATTAAGAGCAACCCTGGCCATACATCCCTCTCTTCACCAACTCCTCCTACTCTGTCTCTGCAGGCTGGGAGTCAGTGCCATCTTCCTGAGGACAAACATGTTTGTTTCTTCCCCCTGCAGCTCCGTCAGCGTCGCTCTGAGTTAGAGTACCTCAGAGAGCCACGCTCAGAGAGACAGGATAGTAGGACGCTCCATTTATTTTCCTATTACAGCCTGGCTGTTTCATGTTGTTCAGGCTCACCTTACTCACTTTTAGCATTTCACACACACACACACACACACACATACACACAATATCTAGCAAAGATATTGACATTCCTACAGACACAAGTATCTTGGTCAAGTAAAAGACCAGTTATTTTAGTTGGGGCTCCTCCTGCAGAGCCTGTACAAATATACAATAAAATACTTTCAATAATAATAGGTGAGTATTTAAGGTGCAGTTTGTAGGAATTGGCAACATCTAGTGGTAAGAGATTTTTTTTTTTATTTGCATACCCTTTACTTCAGTATCCTATCTGAGCATACATATGCTTTTCTTGTGTTACCGTTAAACAAAAATGTTCAAGTATTGATCATCCTTCATGATGTGAAATGTCAGGTGGTAACTTGCAGGGGTATTATCACCACCTACTGTTAAGGGTTGCCAACAGGCAGGACTGTATAAAAACATTTTTACTCTAAATTTTTTTGAGAATCACCAAGGTTTCACAGGTACATTTCTGTTAAAGAAACAAACCAATTAAAGTGAAAACTTCAACTTATATTGTTGAGATGGTCAAGTAAAAGCTGTTTTCGCCCATGTGGGGACACACCATACGTCTTGCTCTGTGGTATTTCAGGGCTCATCAAAGATGCATAATTGAATTGACTTGCATGGCTGAACTTAATTGCCTCCACTGCCAATGAGCCCTGGCTCAGATGCGGGAGCACAGTGTGTATCGGCAGATCTGACTTTTAAAGCAGCATGACGCACCAGAAAGCACAGCCTCTCTCCTTCAGTCTGTACGACCGACGTTTAACTAGTGGCTGATTCAAGGCTCCTCAGCCAAGCTGTTTGAGTCACTGCACCACTGGACAGAGGGCAGCCCAGTAATAAGTGATTCATGACCACGACCTGCTGCAAGGCTCGGCCCAGTAGGAGACAATGTCAACACACACAAACAGCAGCAGCAAGAGCAGCAGCAACAGCAGCAGCAGCAGCAGCATCGCACAAAAAAGAACGTAAAAACGTCAGAGAAACGACGAAAATAAAAAAACTTCTCACCCTTAGATCTTACTCAAACTAACATCATAGCTGCCGCACCTCAAGCTGATTGTAAGGACTACCCTAAGACATAGCTTTGTCTCCATCTAGCGGTGAGACATGGATATACAGCAATGAGCTGACTGGAAAAATAGTTTCTAGTGTCATAATAAAAATATAAAATATACATATGTAACATTTATACTTATATCTTAATCTTACAACAAAGACTTGAGTATCGTGACCTTTTTTTTGTAATAGCCATTTCGTTGCCAAGTGTGTATATCTGTAATGACAATCCTCAATATAATCATCAGCAGCAGCATCTTCATCATACTTAAGTTAAATTGTGGTTGCCACCTACCATTTTTTCAAATACAAAAAACATTTACATTTCCTTTATTTGAATATGCTGACCTTGTGGTATCACCTACACACTCTTTTTGATAATGAGATTGTATTCAATAATTCCTATATAACCTAGGTTGTAAAGCCATCATATTTATAGATGCAATCCACTTACTCGGCAGCCAGAAAACACTGGAGCAGGAAAAGCAAACAGAACAGTAAAACCTAGCAGATGAGTAAAACAGGCACAGCTGGGCAGGCAAATATTTACATCCCTTGATTACTGTATTAAACCCCCCCACACACAGAGTGAGACTGAGAGAAGGAGGCGGAGCACTGACAGCTCCTGACAGATGAGGAGCGAACAGCTGGTGGAGAAGGAGCGAGTTTGAACTGAGATGTGATCACTGTCTCCATCCATCATGATACTAACGTCCAACAAGTCACTGTATTCATTCAGTAAGTGAACTAGGAATGACCTGTTTTGGTTCTTTTCCACACATTATGTGAATAAGGTGAGTCTAATTATGACAGTTAAACAAAGCAGAGTCTAAATGAGCTTTTTTTTTAACTTAGACGTCTCATAAAGAGAAAGCCTTACTGACTCTGAAAGAGTCGAATACATTTAATCACATCACCCTGTAGACTACTGTAATCCTTGTCTGTTGGCCAGTAATCCCTGAGACATTTTGCAGACTTTACAAAACACTGCTGGGGCTTAGGTTAAAATATATATATGCCTTCAGATGATCACTGGTGATTAAATGGATTTGACTTATCTTGTATATAGAATCATCATAATTTTCTATGCATTCAATTATCAGAAATTTTCTAACAAATATGCACTAATAATTTAGTGTAAACACAGTGGGCAGGGATGGAAGACATCTTACTCTAAGTACAGCAGTGAAAGCAATTCTTTGCTGCAGAGTCAATAAGAAAGTCTTCAGCCTCAGACTGCTGTTTAAAAAAAAAAATTAAAAAAAAAAAAGATTTATTGTATTTTACAAAATGCCAGATTTGAGAATTGTCAACTTCAAAAAAAGCAATTTACTCAACATCAACAATAACAACAATAATACAACTTCAAAATTAAGGCTGTCATTAAAATTATTAATCTAATTAGTCACAGGTTTTGTGGATTAATCACTTTAGTCATTATTAATTGTGGTCATAATAAAGTAAACTAGCCATTAGGGGGCGATATGAAAGAGAAAACATTGTTTATTTTTGGCCACATTGTTTCCTAAGACAAACACAGTGTTGTTTTCTGATGTC